ATATAGTGAAAAGATAAGTCATAGACTAGCATAAGATATTTGCAAGACCATTTGCAAGAACTAACAAAATATCAGCATATAATACATATTTTAAAACTCCTAAAATCAAAAATAAAAAAGGATAAACAATCAAAACGAAAGTAGGTAAAATGTATAAACATCTAAAATTCAGAGAAAAGGAAAACTGAATACCTAATACAAAATTGAAAAAGATGCTCCATCAGCAGGGAAATTAAAAACACAACAACATACTACTTCATACCTCTCAGAATAACAAATTGAAAAGTCTAAAAACCCTAACTTGGTGAAAATGTGGAATAACAGAATATTCCATGTACTGTTGGTGGGAGTGTAAAGTGGCAGAAACACTTCAGAAAGAAACTGAAAAATACGTAGAAAAGGTTAAGAAGCTCATATCATATGAGCTAGCAATGCTACTCTATGCATATACTCTAGATAACTCTTGCAAATGTGCACAAGAAGTATAAAAATATTCATTGCATTGCTGTTTGTAATAAGAACCTTGAAATAAACTAAATGTGCACCAGAATGGATAAATCAGTGGAACATTCATAAATGAAATACTACCCAGCAGTTAAAAAAAACCAACAACCTAGAACTACTAGAGGCAGCATAGGGATTAGGAGCAAGGACTCAGAAGCCAAACTGCCCAATCTGAATCCCTCCCCTATAACTCACTAGCTGTTTGATCCTGGGCAAGTTATTCAATCTCTATGCGTTAGTGCCCCCATTTATAAAATTGCTGTAATAGTACCTACTTTATAAACTTGTAAGAATCCTTTATTAGCATCATATTACTTAATATATGTAAAGCTTCCAGAACAGAGCTTGGTATTACATATATTTACTATTATTATTATCTAGCAATGCAGATTAATTTTGGAAGTTGAGATTAAACATTTATTAATTAGATATATTCATTTATTTGTTCCATAAATATTTATTGAGCTCTTACTACATGTGAGGCATCTTCTACAAGGATTTGGAACACATCAAATGAATAAAACAGAGTCCCTGGCCTTATGGAACTTGCATTCTAGTGAGAGAAAACAGTAAATAAATTAATAAATACATACACACACGCACACTAATTAGGTGGTGATAAGTGCTATAGGGAAAAATCAGGTAGCATGACAGGGATTGTGAATGCAGGGTATGGGGGCTAACTAATGCATTTGGGGCAATCAGGTAAAAGCCTCTTTGAAAAGAAGATAGTTGACTCTAGTACAGAAGAAAGTGAGGTACAAACCATCTGGATACCCTGGCCAAGAGCAATACATAAAAGAGCAAATACTAAATTTTTAATAAAACAGACAAAATTACTTTGCTAGTAAAAACATGAAATTTATGTCATGTTTAAATTGTATCATTAAAATTATACCATGTTTAAAATATTTTCAAATAACCCACTTTTACAACATACTTTATGAGAGATTATTTCTCAAATGCTATCTAAATTCTTATTTGAAATTTTAAGTTTAATGTAAATTATTATAAAAATTATTAAGAAAAGGCTTACCAGGTTCAATAAATCCAGCAAGGCAAGTAAACATGCCTGGGGGAAATCTTTTCTGCCTGCCTAACAGACATTTGGTCCCATCTGGATGAATAACTTGCATGATTACCACTGGATCTGTTAAAATCAGATATATAAATGACAGGAAAAATAATTTAGATTCATCATGAAAAGTCACTGTCTGGTAGGATGATATAAAGATGTATCTCTTGTAGGAACAAGACTCGTGTGTGGTTATAAGAGATTGCTTCTTTCTGCCCGACATAGCTGATGACAGAATATCTCAGGGAAATTGCATGGAATACTGTCAGTAAGTTAAAGGAAGACCATTTTTGCCCCCTTCTTCCAATCTGATCAGCAACCTCTATACTTATGGTATATTAGGCATATTCTTATTTTTTTAATGGGAAAAAAGTTTGAGTAGGTAATACATGGGCATGAGGAAAATTTAAATATTACCACAGTAAATACAGTGAATTATCCCTTCCTTTCCATCTTAATCCTTAACAAAATGTTTTTAAAAGCTAATGTGGCTCCACAATTAGGTTTGTTTACGTCATTAAAAAATAAAACTTAAATCACAGTTCATCTCTCTAGAAGTCACTAATCCAGCAAATTCTTGTCACTACATCACAACTGAGAACTAGGAATTAAATATAAAAAGCTCCTGAGCAACAAAAACAGATGTCACTAAGCCATGCATTTTGGAGTCTGGAAACATCCTCAGGTACAGCTACTTCTATCAATTCTTTTTTCACACAGTTCTAAAGGGCTAGGTTATCTGATTCCCAAACATACAGCAGACTCAAAGCAGCAATAAGAAGGAGAAAGGTACAGACAGTAGCAGTAATGAGAATCTAGCCCCAGCTGTATTGCTTTGGTGATGCCTCAATCAGGCACTAAATTATTGGGGCTTTTTTACTTTTCACTAAGGGGAGCCAGATTGGTGGGCTTTTGAAATCATGTATCTCTACACATCAAATT